TGTGTGAGGTCGAGAGGGAGAGAGTGGGGGGAGACCCCGGTGGTGGTCCGTCTCAGCAGCGACTTTTGCGCGGAGCAAGAGCCACGAGCAGAGACACACCTCGCCCTTCGCAGCGTATCAGCTGCAGTTGTTACTGATGCCTCGGAATTCGTTCAGCAAACTGATCATGATTTATGGCCACATTCAAACACTCAACGCACTCATCACTCACTCACGCACTAGGACACTACTCGCACATGTTAATTCACACACACAGACACTCACTCACACAGACACTCATCGCACACTGGACATTCAACACATCACACTCACTCTAATTCACAGGCTTCTTCTATTTTATACATCTTTAGTTTTATTGTTCTTTGTGTTGTTGTTGTTTGACGTATGGTTGATGGTATAGAAGAAAGTTAAATTTTCTAATCTGTAGAATAAATTGCAACAATTTTAGCCATCAAAAGTATTATTTCAGAATCATGTTTTTATATTTTGTAATGGAACAAGTGTGGAGATGTTTTGAGTTGTCACTAACGAGCAAAAGATGCTTCTAAAGTTCTCTTTTCTGCTTGATATGTTCTGTTTACATTACAGCTGTTTTCTCTTGTTTTCTAGCTCAGACCATGTGTTATGGGAGGAAAGTATGCTGTGTTCTATGGCAAATAACGCCCAAGAACGGTAAGAGGTAGAAACCAACTGTTTTTTTCTGAGTAAGCAGAGAGGTGAATCTTTATTTGGTGGCCCTTGGTGATTAATCGTCTAAAAATGAATATTCTGTGGCACTTCAAAAGGTGGGTCAAATCACCTGAAATTGCTGGCAGGATATGCACTTTCTCAATTGAAAATGCTGGCATTCAGTGAGTTAAAGATCTGGGAATGAGATCTATGGTCGTGGACATTAAACGTTTGGAAGGATTGATTGATCATGGCGGATCCTGCACTGACGTGGTCAACTCTGGATAACGGTTACGTAGGGATCCAGTTCCAGATATTGGACTTAATTGGCTTTAAAGTTTGCACTTCATGATTTGACAGCTAAAGTGCTTTACAAATTCTTCCCAAAGGCAAAAATGTGTTGTTGTGTCACCTGGTCTTGCAGGCACGTCTTTCTTTGTCCTCAACATTCCGACTACTCAAGGCCGATGATGGACTCTCTTCATAACTTACAGACTCTCAGATCCGTTGTACCAGTTGTGTAACTCCCCTTCGCTATACATGTCGTGCCTCTCTCTCCTTCTGTCCTATGGTGGTCTTCCCGCCACCTCCCCCTTCCCTCACTCCTCTGACACGCCATATTGGACAAGGTGGAACAGAGTACACTGACCCTCATTTATGGAAAAATTGCGCAGATAAATTGTATATTTTGTTGGGTGTAGATTCCAGATACCTTGATCTGACGTGGCATGTATGATAGTGTGAGATGCCGCACAAGAATTTGAGCGTAGACCTGCGGCTGTTTAATAAATGCGTGCTCACTACCAGCGTATATATGAAAGTCTCGCCTGATTAAATATCAGAAAACTGCCTGATCACGCCTGTCTTTATGAAGTCAAGCAGGAGTCGGCTTAAGGAAGCTCAAAAAGCCCGCTTCTGCGGTTTTTTCACCATTTTTAAAAAATGCAAATATACGCTACTATTATATATTAAGGGGTGGGCGCATAGATATGGCCTAAATTCATATTGCGGTATAATTTGGGTGAATAGGACGATAGATGTATAGTATTGCGGTACTATTTGGGTGTGAAATTTCATTAGTGTTGCAGGTTCTTGCATATAATAGTCACGATTATTACTTACTTATATATTAGAATCTAAATATATTTATTTTTTGAGGTTAGAAAATCAGTTGTGGACGAATAAAGAGACAAATGTTGTAACATACATTTATTTATGAATGTTACAGTAAATAGCATTCACTGTAAAATGCAATTTTTAAAAGGAAAAACATATGCATTCATTTAAAATATAAAAATCACAAATGTTGAAATCAAAGTCTGTAGGAGTTAGACATGGTCATTATTTATAGTGTCAGAGAGTTATTGTGCAGGTAATGACTTTGTTAAAGCTATTGTTCGTTTACAAAGTGGTTTGCCATTTAATTGTTGACGCTCATCAAGCGCTTTTCTCTGCGCTTGCAGTTAATTTGGAGAATTAAATGGTTATGTTCATTTTCAACGCGATTGGATTTTGAACAATGTGATGTAAATGATCATTTTTGGCATCAATTAATTTTGTTTAACAAAGTAGCTTTCATGAGATATTGACCGCGTGAGGTCCATATCTGACGCTACTTTCCCAAACTTCTGCTGTGAGGTGCGGAACGGCACACGCATGGATCTATTATGCTCACACGGAGCTTCGAGCCTACGCCCCTTTGACACTGATTGGCAAAAGGTAGACGCTTAAACTGGTGATTACTGGTGTGTGTATTTACTCTGCTGGGCGCTGTGAACAATACTAGACTGAAACACAAATGCTGTTGTTCGTTGTTGTCCAGTGGTGTCTGCTACGGTAATAGTGCTAGGCTAATTGCTGCTGAATGCCGGTTTGTTTTGGGTCCTTTCTGCTGGCGTCAGAGACTGCGCACTTTGATGACATAATGACCTTTGCAATATGCCGGTATAACAAAAAATTTACGTGGGCAAATATCATATCGCATACCGCTTATACCTTTTAGATCGCTAGCCCTATTATTTATACACTTTTTTCCCTAGTGTCTAGACCCACTGCAGCACTTCATCTCTCCAGAATGTTGCACGTAAATAAATAAATAATCAAATGAATGAATGAATGAATATAGCTGCCGGTTTGAGCAAGCACAAGCGATCTGCATTCTATCTCTGCAATGCGGAGAACAGGCAGTGGATGAGACAAGTTTTTGAGCATGATCAGGTGATTTATGGGGCTATATGCACAAAATAAGAAAAATCACATTCTTTGCAGAGGTGATGTGGCTCACAACGTAAATAACTTTATTATATGACTTGGACCGTACACGCGCTCTGACTGGTTGATTTGCGGTCTGATATTTTCCCATCTCGGACCGTTACCATGACAATTGGTCCGAACAGCGCGTATCACATTTGATATCTTTCCACAGACCGTTACCATGACAATCGGTCCACAGCCCGTATCACACAAAACCAAGTCGGACATGAACTTCACAAATATCTCAAAAGCATTGGTAAAGACACAGACGAGAGTCATAAAATAAAACATTTATTACCCTTGTTTGCTCGGTCTGTGCAAAAAGGCCAAGGTCTGATATTTCTCCATACAGACCTCGCGCTCGGTTAATAAGCCGTTAATATATGCGTCGAGATATACTGTATATATGCGCACAATATCCCAAAAAAATGAAATACACGAAAAAACTACATGGTACGACAAAATGCTTACATTGTAAAGTTCAACATTTTGCCAACACAGAATAAACGTGCAAAAAGTTTCACAACGTTTTTAAAACATATAAAGAATGTTAAGGTAGACTTGTGTGTGTTAGCGTGTGAAAACAAAACCACTAGAACACAAGCTTTTGACTTTTTAACAAGAAAATTCCCGTCTGTACAACATTTATACAGTTTTCCAACTAACTCCCAAGTTGGACTCAAGTGGTTTTAGTTTTTTTCCCCTTTTGATTATACATTTATGAATGGAGTTATAAGTTAACACTCACCACCTGGCTAGCCCTGCTATTTGTTAACACCGCAAGGTTTCCCCAGACAGGGATAACCAGGCCTGACGGTCCGGGTCAGAGTACATCCGCACTGGTTTTCTCATTGCTCCGGTACCTCGACACATCCAGCTCTAGGGTTTATGAATGAATAAATGAATTAAGATGAAGAAATCCTTTATTTGTCCCATGGTGGGGAAATGTCGGTGTTGCATCACCAGTTACAGAACAGTAGGAATGAGGAGCACACAGCACAAGGGGACAAAAACTCTAGACTAAAATAAAATAATATGTTTATTAGTTCCACAGTGGGGAAATTATAACACAATGTATCCTATGATAATTGTTAACTTGTAACATTGTTTTTATATTTGTATTCAAGAATGTGCACTCTTTATTCTGTCTTACCTCAGAGAATGGTGACATAGAGGAGGACGGTGAAGAAGACCAGTTCCAGCACTCAGCAGGTCCAGATCTGCCACATAAAAAAAGGAATTTATTTTGAATTCTGAAAATATTACAATTTATTTGTTTTGTGCTTTTTTGTGTATGTTATAGGTGTCACAAGTAAAAAGGCTGGTACAAAAAAGCATAAAGAGAAAGGGAATGGCACATCACGTTCAAAAAGAAAACGAAGCAGATGGCTAATAGAAGATGTGATAATTGGTAAGTAACAGAGACACTAACCTAAAGAAGATATATTGTTAAAGACCGGCTAGGCATTTTTATATTGGTATTGGCATTTGGTATTTTGTAAGAATGACCCAACTTATTAAAAGCAGATAATTATCTTAAAGGGGCCGTATTTAATATTTTTTTATTACATAGTTTTATTGTAAGTGACATTACATTACATTACATTGTGTGCGTCCCAGATAATAGATCAAGATATCATATTAGACCTATTCTAAAGATGAGTTGATATAAAGCATATTTTTTTCTTTTGTGTAATTGCACAAAAATGGCAATTTGTATGGATTTGTTTTGTTTGCTTGCATATTAGTTTTCTTTAGAGCTATGGGGAGAAGCAGGAGATAAGTGTAATAATTATTTCACCTGAGCACGCATGCCTGAAAAGTAGCACAAAGGATTGAATGATTCAATCGAAACACAACTCTGGGTATAAGTAAGCTAATGATGGCAAGAGCTCTGGTGTGTCGTCTGGTGCACACTGGGGTAGTCTTGCACAGTTTTTCCTATGTGGTTTTACTGCAAATGGCAAATAAATGAATCTGAATCTGAATCTGAATCTGATGAAGAGGAATCCATTAAGAGTGCAGTAAAAAGGTCATTCGGTGATTGTCCTTGTCTTATTTGGTTGTGCCCTATGTGTATGATAGACCCTGGAGTTCATTTCATCTGTGGACTGTCAGATGTGAACGCTGTGATTGGGGAGTCAGCAGAGATCATGTGCAAGCTCAGCAGAGAAGACTGTGAGGGAGCCTGGTTCCGAGATGGACAAAAGGTGACAGACTCTCTCCATTAAAGTTGTAAGTAAAGTTGTTTCTTGTGGTTCTATTGTTCACGACAATCTGTTTGGAAATAGATTTCCGATGAGGATGACTTTACAATGCATAAAAATGGAGTTATTCACACATTGGTTATTACAAAGTGTGAGGAACAACACTCGGGAAAATACCGCTTTGAGGCAGACGGTCGCAAAACAGAAGCAATGGTCAATGTTAAAGGTTTGATAAAGCCATCTTATTACTAGATTTGTTATAATCGTTATCCTGCTGACTTCCTGTGATAAGCGAGAGCCTCAGCTCTCGTTTTAACTTTATTTTTGTATGATTGTTTGGTGCATCACATCACCAACTCCAAATGCTGTATTATGAAATGCCTACAAACAAATGTGCCACAAACATAAGTCTATCTCTTTAATGGCAGTAGGATTTATCTTATGTTTGAGCTCATTCTGTCTATTTCTTTCATTGAAGATCCACCGAGGTTTGTGGCTGAGGACCTGGAGGCTTTCACTCAACCTGTGATAGTTAAAACTGGACACAATGCAATCTTCAAAATGTTTTTTGTTGGACACCAGCCAATAAAGATTCACTGGTATAAAGAGGAAGATGAGCTCCAGGACGACACCAACATAAAGATTGAGAGGTCCTCGAGGCAAAGTCGTCTGCTTCTGATCAGGTGTCAAAGAAAAGACACAGGTGAAATCAAGATCAAACTGAAAAATGAAGATGGCGTTACTGAGGCTATTTCGCAGCTGATTGTGCTTGGTAAGAAAAATAATCTGGGGAACAATTGGTGTGAATTTCAACAAGGGTGGGCAATATCCAAAGAATATTGCTTGATATATTTTTTGTATCTTGATAATAATGAACAGATAGTAGTGTTGTAAATACAATGGTCAATACTAGGAGTGTGACAATATATCAATATGGAGATGTATCGCAATACTTTCTCGCAATCGATTATCGATATACTTTTGCTGGGTATCTGCACGTCAATGACGTTTTTCACTATTTTCATGTTCCCAGATGTCTATATCTAATATGTATGGGGATTAGCTTTAGAGCATATTTTATCGAGCCAGCAGGTGGCACCAGCGCTGCCTCTGGATGTTTTGAAAACAGGGTGCTCTTGTTGCGCCGCTTTTTCTCAGCTTTTTGTCTGAGACTGGTGATTTCAGTGAAACTTGTCTACAAAATGCACTTTAATTTCTGTAGAATGTTCATATTGGTTTTATTGGATGCGAGACTTATTTCGTTATATAAAAAGGCAACATTATTACTAAAATGTGCAGGTTAAAAGGAATTTTTGCTTGTTCAGTTTAATGTTACACATGACTTTATCCATTTATCTTGAAATAAAGTGTATTTTTTCACTTAATATTTTTGTATTTATTTGTGGCATAAATGATCATATAATGAGTATATTTCTGACCAATATATCGATAATCGCTGCATCGTCATATTGTGAAGAAATCGTTATTGTGAGCTTTATATCACACATGGAATTGTATCGTGAGGTACCCTAAGGTTCCCACCCCTAGTCAATACATATCTTTATTCGAATGTTATGCAGTCATTTTCACTGTATGTACAGATTGTATACTTGCATCTCCAAAACAACTATTGTGAAATGTTGATCATTGCAGATAAACCCACCTGCCCTCTTGGTCCTGCTGATGTCATTGAGAGTTCACCAGTATGTATTGAATTTAAGTGGAGGCCCCCCAAAGATGATGGTGGCTCACCGGTATCCAGCTACACACTGGAGCGTCAGCAGGTGGGTCGAAACACGTGGAAGAAGTTGGGAGAAGTGGCGGGAGTCCCCTGCTATAGGGACACAGACGTGGAACATGGGAGGAAATACTGCTACCGCATTCGTGCTGTGACAGCAGAGGGTATCAGCGACCTGATGGAGACAGATGACATGCAAGCCGGGACTTTAGGTGAGTACAAAGAGCAATGTTATTTACACATGAAATACTACTCACTACATTTCTATTAAAGTGTAACCATTCACTTGAAGGCTGTGGGCTTTTATATTTATTTTCATTTGTTTAGGTGTTCTATATATATTTTAGATTACATTAATAATATGTTTTATTCTTGAAAAAGTGAACTTTGTCAGCATAAAATATCTAATAGAAACCATACGCATTTACGTAAATTTATATACATAACTCAAGGCATATAAAGTTAACAATAGCCTAAGATGGGTATAACAGCAGCTGCTTACAAACATGGACAAAACTGCTTCCCAAGTTAATGTGCATGTTCAATGCTAAACTGCACTTAGGTTACATGCAGATGAATGAGATTCCGCGCCAATAAAGCTGTTCACAAACTACAAAGTTAAATACGTGTAAGGGATTGCTAATATGCCATTGTTTTTTATTTCATACCAAAAAATGCCGAACACAGACGTGCTTCTATTGAAATCAGTAAATCTAAAACCAAAGCTAATGTTGCTAACGCTAAATGCTAGCTAACAAGCGTTACATTCACAGGTGTCTACTAACCACAGCTAGCTTGTTTACATCGCTCTCGCGAAACAGTGTATACTGTCTCCCTAATCACAAAGCATTTTGCTTTTTCCCCCAAACCACACACCTTATCTTATCTTCATTTCATAAAATAAATAGTATGACATTTAGGACTCTGCCTTCGAGGCTGGCGCTGTATCCATGGGCTGGCGTCGTCAGGTGACGTAAGCGTTACGTAATAAATGCGCTGTTAACTCGAATAGCTCTAAAACAAAAGTTTGTAAACAAAAGTTTTACATATTATAACATTATATCGTTATTTTCCACCTATGGACTCACCACCTGCAGGGGGATCAGTGAGGGGCTGGTGCTCTATGGATTGGGTGCCCCCTTTACCCCCATGATGAATATATTTAAAAAAAATACTTTTATTGTTGCATGCATAATATGTTGTTATTTTTTTAATATAAAAATTAAATAATGCATGAAAAACAGTGCAAAACATTTTTTTTTTACAATATACAAGTATTCTGCAAAAAAGCAGGGGCATGTTTGTATATACTGTAGGGTGCTCCTACCTGTGGTTACCGTCTTGATATTTTGAAATGAAATAAGATAAATTGGACAATGAAATCCAATAATACAAATGAAATGCATTTATTTGTTTTCCTTATTTGTTATTATTTTGCTATTTTGTCTTATATGGTTTCTTTCCCGTCTCAGCCTTTCCAGGCCCTCCTGCACCACCAAAGATAATAGATGCGTATGATGACTGCATAAATTTGGAATGGGCTGCACCAAAAAAGACTGGTGGGTCAAGGATTCAAGGATATATTTTAGAAAAGCGCAAAAAAGGGAGTAATCTATGGTCAGCTGTCAATCCCCCGGGGGAACTAATAAAAGGTATAACTTTACATAACATAGATTACACATTGTGTGATGTAAAGAGTCATTTTTGTAACTTTTTTTCTCTAGAAAAGAAATATGCTGTAAAAGATGTTGTATCAGGTTTCGAGTATGAGTTCAGAGTCGCATGTGTAAACCTTTCTGGACCTGGGGAATCCAGCAACCCCTCTGAGTTTGTGTGTGCACGAGATCCCAAAAGTAAGTTGACTCTAGATTCCATTTGTATTAGGTATTAGAATGTATACCATATCAAAACCATGACATTAGTAACACAGACTAGAATTCTTTTCAAAGGCTTTCAGTAATACTCAATTTTACATTAGGCGACTCAGCTCGATTTTAGATACAATCATACTTGATAGAATTACAATTTAAAACATGTTTTCAATGTTTTATTGTCCATTCAGTGCCCCCTGGGAGAGTAATTGGCCTGAAGGTGACAGAAACTTCCTACACACATTTTGCCTTGGCATGGACCAAACCTGAGGAGAGAGAGGCAATCCAGGATGAAGCGAAAGGATATTTTGTAGAAATCCGAAACGCAGAATGCAGTGAATGGTCCCGATGCAACAGCACCCCAACGATTACCACTTCATACAGTGTGAAAGGCCTCCGTTCCATGGGTGTGTACGGGGTCAGAGTGATAGCTATAAATGATGGAGGAGAGAGTGCACCTGACGAGCTGCCTAACTATGTCATGGCTATGCCTCTACCAGGTACATATGAAGCCTCACTAATCAATCATGACACTATTGTAAACTAAAATACTTTTCCTTGAATACTCTATGCTATAAAGAGTAACATGAATATACTTCCTATATTATATATTTTCTGTAAATACCATTGTATTTGCACAATAATGCTTTAATTTTCCACCCTTCCAAGTGAGACCAAAATTTACAAATCAGAAAATGAAGAGTTTCATTGTAGTGAGAACAGGAAATTCCGTCAGGATAACAGTACATTTTGAGGTAAGATTTCTATTATCTACATTACTCAAATGTATGTATACCAGCATTTTGAGCCATTAAAACACACTTCTTAGGCTTCCCCAAGACCAAACATCCTGTGGCTGAAGGACAACATGCCTGTGACAAAGCGTGTTACAGTGAGTAACTGTGATGGGTCGTCCCAGCTGCTTATCCCATCTTCTGAGCGCTCAGACTCAGGCATCTACTCCATTCTGGTGAAAAATCTTGTGGGACAAGAGACATTCAGCACCGAAGTTAGAGTCACAGGTAAAACTGAGATCATATCTTTCACAATCACCTATAAAGCAGAGATCATATCTGTCTATTTGAGAAGCCAGAAGAGGCCAGAAGCTTCTTCTGGCTTCTGGCTTTTTAGACAATTTTAGACAATTACAGTAGTTTGGTCTTCATCCAAAGTAATTGTCCTCCACAAAAGTCTGCGAAAAGAGTCCCAATCGGATCACATTCTGTTCATATGATGAAACTGCCATCTAGTCCATGATTGGTACACACATACAAAAACAGTTTCTAAATATTGAATTAATCTTGTAGATGACCCAAAGTCCCCAGGCCCAGTGGAGTTGGAGGAAAATGTCCCAGGAACAGTGACAATACTCTGGGAACCTTCACTTGACGAAAAGCGAGATGACCGCCTTCACTACACTGTTTCCAAACTGGACAGCACCAAAAACACTTGGAGCACTGTGGCCGATCGCCTTTTCAATCATAGGTTCACAGTCTGTAACATCATGGAGGGGAGAGAGTACCACTTCAGGGTGTATGCCAAGAACGACATGGGCATTTCTGCACCCTCAGAATCACCTATCTGGGGACGAGAGAAGAAGAGAGGTACATCATTAACAGAATGACATTCTAACAGGCAAGCTTTGGTGCACTGTGTGACATTCTGGGTGCTTATGGCTCATGTTAATGTTCTCCTGCATGTTTTAATGTTTGCATTGTTCTACACCTTTAACTTCTGCGTATACATATATATATATATATATATATATATATATATATACACAGTACCTTGCGAAAGTATTTGGCCCCCTTGAACCTTTCAACATTTTGCCACATTTCAGGCTTCAAACATAAAGATATAAAAATTACATTTTTTTGTCAAGAATCAACAACAAGTGGGACACAATCGTGAAGTGGAACGAAATTGATTGGATAATTTAAACTTTTTTAACGAATAAAACACTGAAAAGTGGGACGTGCAATATTATTCGACCCCCTTGCACTAATACTTTGTAGCGCCACTTTTTGCTGCAATTACAGCTGCAAGTCGCTTGGGGTATGTCTCTATCAGTTTTGCACATCGAGAGACTGGAATTCTTGACCATTCTTCCTTGCAAAACAGCTCGAGCTCAGTGAGGTTGGATGGAGAGCGTTTGTGAACAGCAGTCTTCAGCTCTTTCCACAGATTCTTCAGATTCTTCTAACACCTGGATACGTCTGTTTGTGTATCCAAATCCGGCTTCAAACTTCTCCACAACAGTATCTGGGACCTGCCTGGTGTGTTCCTTTGTCTTCATGGTTCTCTCTGCGCTTTAAACAGAACCCTGAGACTATCAAAGAGCAGGTGCATTTATACGGAGCCTTGATTACACACAGGTGCATTCTATTTATCATCATCAGTCATTTAGGACAACATTGGATCATTCAAAGATCCTCACTGAACTTCTGGAGTGAGTTTGCTGCACTGAAAGTAAAGGGGCGGAATAATATGGCACGCCCCACTTTT